ACAGGCATGAGCCACCATGCCCAGCTGACATGTGCAATCTTAAGCTGACTTGAAATCATCGGTTTATTCCTCATTCAGTTGTTCAGTTGCTCAACTCTCACTGAGCCAGGTGTGTGGCTGGGCACTGCAGATGGAGCATGGAGAAACCGCCATTGGCCTACTCTTTACCCTGCTTCACTTCAGCAAGCAAGGCAGATAAAAACTGCAAATCTGATGCATGTCATTAAGAATGGCAGGACATTCAAAAGAAAGAACTGTTATCTCAACCCACTCCCCTGCAACTGCCTCAATACTGAACTGGAATAGGTGGAGTCCGGACCAACTTTCCTGAAGTCACATTTGAAAGGGTGAGACCAGGACCTGGTAAATGGGAGTGGAAAAGAAGGGGCTATTCCAGACAGAGAGGACAGCTTGGGTGGATGCCAAAGCAGAGCACACTCCAGGCTGGCTAGGAGTCTGGAACAGCTCTGCGGACGGGAGGTGGTGGCAAGGTGTGGCAGCAGGGAGGCTAACGTGGAGGCCACAAGGTTGACCTCTATTTTTCTGTATTAGACAAAGCAAAATGAACCACCCCACTGGCGTGATCTGATTTGCACTTTAAAAACTGCACAATCCTCAGCTTGTGAGTGTATGTTAAGCTCACAATTTCACAGTGAAGCTGTGACTTCAAGTGACAGAGGCAGAGACACCAGTAGGTCCAAATTTCCACACACTTAAACAATAGTTTCCCACATAAACCTCGGTTTTCTCTGAAACAACAACAATAATCATAGCTGACACTTACTGAACATTTACTTATACCACGCACCAGTCTAAGCATGTATCACTTTCATGTAATGAATTTAAAAAATCTAATAATATTAATATTTTTTTAAAAACTTGCCCAAATTAAAAAACAATGGCAAGTAGTCGTCCTGTTTTGGTGTCCACTAAAACCCTGAGGGCTCCAGGGCAGAGATTTCATAGATTATGTCACATCATTGGCCGGGCTTGATATCTCATGGCTGTAATCCCAGCACTTTGGGAGGCTGAGGCAGGCAGATCACAAGGTGGGAAGTTTGAGACCAGTGTGGTCAAAATAGTGAAACCTCGCCTCTATTAAAAACACAAAAAATTAGACGGGTGTGGTGGTGTGTACCTATAATCCCAGTTACTCAGGGGGCTAAGGCAGGAGAATCACGTGAACCCAGGAGGCAGAGGTTGCAGTGACCTGAGATGGCACCACTGCACTCCAGTCCAGGGGGACAGTACGAGACTCCGTCTCAAAAAAAAAAAAAAAAAAAAAAAAATCACATGATTGACTTGTTGCTGTCACTGCAGTATTCATATTAAACTCACAGACTGCTGGATATACTATCTTCACCAGTACTATATGTTTTCATAAAGAATAATAGTAGTAAACTGCTTGTTACATTTGTGTCCCTGCAGCAAGTAACAATTGCTGAGCTCATATTGCATTTAATATGTTTTGCATGTCACTGTCACATTATGTTATGGCTGTAACACAGCATAAGACAATTGTTCAGTCGGTTGTTGCCTCAAGAATATTTACAATACTATCATTATGAAGAAAACGCGTATCTACCCTTTCGCACGTTAGCCAATACTGTGAGAGCACCGGTTTCAGCCCTACCACAGGAGAGGCACTTGGCATAATAAAGTTGTCTTGAAAGAGAAGTAATAAATTTTAGGCTACTTGAACTTGCACAAATTTCCTTTTTAACAGCAAAATAAATATGATTTTGTGAAGGTGGTGTATCACCTTGTGTTATGGCAAAAGTATCATTTTTTTCATTAGGAAAATATGATATGAAGAATTTCACATTGAGGATGATCTATGAAAACCACATGAAAAAATTTAAAATGTAACCTGGAATTGTTGAATATATTAATATTAGTCTTCTTGCCAAAAGCAGGAACATCTTTTCCAGAACTTGGTAGAAGGGAACACAATGTAATCAAGTAATAATCCAATGTCTATCTTCTGCCAAATTGAAACACTGCCTTTGATTTTTCCATGAAATATTTAGCATTCATTATTGCACTATTTATTTTTATGTCTGAATATTTTAGAAAATTGTTATGAATAACCTGGACAGAATAAGAACAACACAATTCTATGAGCATGTTATTTGTTATAATAAAAACATCCACTGTTATATTTTAAACTTGGAGTACAAGAAAGAAATCCTACATTAAAACTTTATCTATTAACAAGACCTATGTGCATATTAAAAACAAGTGATAAAGAAAATGCTGAAAACTCATCAATCTTAAAAAATATCTAAAAAATTTTTAGATTATATATGTTTAAGAAATGGGAGTGACACAATTGAACTGTGAATGCTGGTTAATTAGGTAAAAATTACATGATGTGTAATAGGTGAATATCTATTTACTGATCATTTATTTTTATTCTTTTGTGAATTAACCCTTCATGCATTTGAATAATGTTTCCATTTGAGCCTTTTTTTCTCCACTAAATTAATCATGTCTGAGACTACATATTAAGAATGCGAAGACTACCGTATAGGTTGCTAAAACTTTTTCCAATTTTTCATTCAACTTTCAACCATTTAAACGGAATATTATTATATAGAAATTTTGTTTTATTTTTGAGATGGAGTCTTGCTCTGTTGCCTAGGCTGGAGTGCAGTGGCACAGTCTCAGCTCACTGCAACCTCTGCCTCTTGGGTTCAAGTGATTCTCCTGCCTCAGCCTCCCAAGCAGCTGGGATCACAAGCATGCATCACCAAACCCAGCTAATTTTTGTATTTTTAGTAAAGATGGGGTTTCACCATGTTGGCCAGGCTGGTGTTAAACTCCTGACCTCAGGTGCTCCACCCACCTTGGCCTCCCAAACTGCTGGGATTATAGGTGTGAGCCACTGTGCCAGACCAACATTTTATTTTTTTAAAATGCAATATAGTCAAAATGATCTATTAAAAATAATTTATTATTATAACCATATAATCATTAAAAAACTTCTCTTACTAAAAATTATTTGAAAAACATATTTACATATTTTTAGAACTTTTATAATGCCAATTTTTAATAGTTAAATATTGGTTCTACCTGGAATTAATTGGTAAAATGTCTGAAGTTGTAGTCTAGTTTTCTTCCTTTTCTTCTTTTCTCTCTTTCCCTCACTCTCTTTTCCTCCCTCCCTCCCTCACTCCTCTTTGCACATTTTTCAAAGGTATATCTAGGTATTTTATGAGGAACTGTTATTGTTTTTAAATGGAATTTATAGGTTATTTTTTTCTATTATATTCAGTCACTAATTACCGTACATACATAGGGAATTTATTAATTCTATTAAATATAATTAAATTTAAGTATAATTAAATATGTTAATTATGTAGTCAGCCTCATCATTGCTCACTCTATTATTTTCCCAATTAGATTTTCATTAAATTACCTTGAGTTTTCTGGGGATAAAATTACATTATCTCTAAATAATAATATTGTTCTTCTTCCTAATTAAAAGCAATAGTGCTAACTATCATCAAATGCATTTCTCCCAGTGATCTAAATTGTTATTTACTTTTTTACCATACAGATTATGTCCATAAAATTCACTTCTAAATCTTGATCATAAAATTTCTGTAAAATCACAGTTATGGGTGGAGTGTATGTGTGTGTGTTTACGTGTGTTTAATCAATTCTTGGAAGTGAGAATCATAAATATTCAGGCTATGATAATAGATATTTTAAAACAGTCTAATTCTTAGTATTTATAGATGTGTTTACTTGCACAATGTTCTAGAAGCAAGGGTTTCAAAACTTCAGCATAAAGATAAAATCAAAATTGTCTTTGCCTGATAAAAATCCAAAGATAAATTATAATGTTTAACTTTAAAAAAACATAAGCAAACATAATAGCCTAGCAATATTGGCACTGTCAAAATAAGCTGTAAGATATTTTAAGTATAACTTGATATAATTTTTAAACTTAGTTTTAAAACTCATATTGTAAATACATACGATGAAATTCTCTGGCTAACATATATTCCATCTTCACAAACAACTGCTTTAATTTCTTTTATTATGATGTTGAGGAACTAAAAGACTAACATAGCTAATCAAAGAATAAATGTACTTTGAGATTATGAAAAATGTACTGGATTTTATGTCCACTTCAAAATGCCCAACATCCTAAGGACAAACCGAGGGCCATAAGGAGAGAGATGTTTTTTTTTCTTTTTCTGTGTGAAACAGACTTCTCTGCTTGAAAGCAACAGTACATACTGTACTACCTAGACTGAAACAGATTTAGGATTAGTAGTAGGCGAAAACTGGCAAGTTTTCCTTCATATAAATCTTGCTAACAACATAGCAGATTTCATTATCCTGAAAAAAAATCTTAAAACTTTCTAAGGCAAAAGAAAAACAAAATATGTATGACTTTTCACCCAAAATAATTACAGCTGCCATAACAGTCACTTAACTCTGAATATGTGGAGAACTGTATAATCTCATCAGGTGGCCTTGTAGTTTGTCTGCCCTCTAGCTGTAAATAAAGAAGAAATTAGATAACCAATTCTGAATTTTACTTTCCATTTAAAGTTATCTATAATGTTCTTGGGAAAAGATACCCAAATTAGGTGATCCAATGTGATCTGGCACTTTAATAGGTTTTCCATTTTCTAACTTTAATATTGAGAAATTTTATTGGGCACATAAACTCTGAGTTTACATCTGACATGATATAAAAGACCTTCTGCTCGATGTTGACAATGTACTTCCCAGTGTTTTTACAACTACATTTGTCCCTTGAACAACACAGGTTTGAACTAGAGACCACTTGTACAGATTTTTTTTTCAGTGAAAGTTAGAGTATGCCTGCTTCTCCTATCTCCTCCTTCCTTCAGCCTGTGCCATCCCTGAGGCAGCAAAACCAGCCTCTTCCTCCTTCTCCTCATCCTACTTAAAGTGAAGACTAGGAAGATGAAGATCTCTATGATTATCTACTTCCACTTAAATAACAGCAAATATATTTTCTCTTCCTTATGACTTTCTTGAAACCATTTTTTTGCTAGCTTAAATTATTGCAAGAATACTGCACGTAATACATACAACATATAAAATCTGTATTAATGAACTATTTATGTTATCAGTACAGCCTTTGATCAACAGTAGGCTATTAGTAGGTAAGTTTTGGAGGGTAAAAGTTATATGCAGATTTTTGATTGGTGTGGAGGGGGGCTGTCCCTAACCCTTGCTTTGCGCAAGGGTCATCTGAATTGTTGTATCCCCCTCCCCAATATGTGTTCTTCAGAATGGTATTTAAATATCAAGTCATAGACTACTTTTTCTCTTGCTTGCATTGCCTTATTTCAACTTGACTTTATTCAATGCACCATGAAGGAAGACACCGATTCTTACACCCTGTCTATGAAGACCTGATGTTGACCTGAACTTCCTCTCTCCAGTGAGGGTGGGTTCCCATCATACTGATGCTCACGGTTGCACCCTGTGACGATTTTCATTCAGCCAATGTAGGGAAATGTTCATCCCATCCTGTCATCATCCATTCTCACTGCCTTCTTCACTCAATTTCTCATGTGGATCTGCGACACAGTGCATGTTGTTGTTTAACTCTTTAGGTATTTTTCTTTCTTTCCAACATCGTTTCTAATAATGCAGAATTTTTTTTCCTGAAGCCAGGATGCAAGACATTCTGAGTAAGCTGTTTTATCTTATATTCAAGCCACTTTTGTCCTGGGTCCCTAAGAATTGTCTGTGCTTTTCAACATTGACTGTAATTTCTCAGAGTGAGTTCTTGTTCTATCAGTTATTGATTTTGTTTGCGCAGCAGATATCAACCACATCGGACTTTCCAACAGGTATCTCTCAAGCCTTCATCTATTATCTTCATCTAACAGCGGAGCTTAACATTTCACTATATCAAAATTCCTCTGATATTTGTTTGCGGAATACATTTTTAATTATTTAAATGATTGCCTCAATATGCTGAACTTTGTGTCTTCCTGGCATAGGTGTAGACTGTAACATCTACTGGGTGTGTAAAGTGCTAATGTCTCTATAAAGCAATGGGATCCACGTATGTAGCAACTCCACTCCAGTCCTTGTCTTCCTTCCTGCCTCCTGTTTGGTAATATCACCAACGTATTAAATGGCAGAATTTTCAAGAATTCAAATACAGCCTTTTGGCTCTTTTCCTTCTTTATTATATTCAAAAATACATGGGCTAGCCGAGTGCTGTGGCTTACACCTGTAATCCCAGCACTTCGGAAGGCTAAGGCCAGCAGATCACCTGAGGACAGAAGTTCAAGACCAACCTGGGCAACACGGTGAAACCCCGTCTCTATAAAAAACACAAAAAAGAGCCGGGTGTGGTGGCAGGTGCCTGTAATCCCAGCTACTAGGGAGGCTGAAGGGGGAGAATCCCTTGAACCGGAGAGAGAGAGATTGCAGTGAGTTGAGGTCACGCCATTGCACTCCAGGCTGGGTGACAGAGCAAGACTCTGTCTCTAAATAATAAATAAATAAAAATATACAGGCTTAAATAAATAGAAGAAAATTTTCCATTCATAGTGATACAATTTATTCTCTAAGAGCGTGGCCCAGTAGAGATAAATTACTGTCTCTAGTCATATGATTGCTGTGTGCTCTTTAAAGACATCCTTATGCACGTAGTCTCTGCGAGGGTTCCCAGTGATTCCTGCCTCCAGTACCCATGGTGTAATCCCCTCCACTTGCCTGTGCCTTATTGCTAATGAAAAGGCTATGGCAGAAGTGACAGGTGCAACTCCCAATATTAGGAGTTGTGTGCTAATATTGTGCTATGGCAAGCTGTGCTATGGCTTGCAACTTGGGTTCATTCTTTTTCTCTCTGCCTTCCTGGATTCCTAACACACAGAAACTATGAGATAATAATGATTCATTTTTCTCAGTTGCTACGTTTTGGGATTATTTGTATGCAACAGTAGATATTACAATCCATTTATCCACCCCCCCAACTTTTATTTTAGGCTCTGGGGTACATGTGCAGGTGTGTTATATAGGTAAATTGCATGTCAGTGAGGTTTGGGTTACAAATGATCTCATCACTCAGGTACTGAACTTAGTGCCTGCTAGGAAGTTTTCCAGCCCTCACCCTTCCCTCACCCTGCCTGCTCTAACAGTCTCAGTGTCTACTATTTCCATCTTTGTATCCATGTGTACTTGATGTTTAGTTCCCAGTTATAATTACAATTCATTCCTTACACACATACGTGTAATACCACTGAAACACAAATCACTTATACATACTTAAAATTAAAAATAAGTAATCCTTCTTAAGAATTCTTAACTTTGTTCCAGAAAATTATTGACTAACATTGAATTTTCTCTTTTATTACCTAGGACAGAGAAGCAAAGTAGATGGCAAGAATATCACTTTAAATAAAGCTGAGTATATAAAATTATAATTCTACCCAAATCCAAATATGAATAAATAATATGATCACATCCGTGAAGTTTCTTGCTCTTCAGAGGTTAACTGGCCTCACAAACAAAGTGCAGATTCACTAAACTACATGTGTTGAGTAGATTTATTTTCTTCATAGGAGTTTACAGTGCTTTCTAATTTTAGTTTGGAGATTTGTATGATTTCTTTAAAGGTAATTCCTCAATTAAAATTTGATCATATTAAAACAAAGGTAGATTATCCCCCAAATCTATAGAAGTTTAAGGATATTTTAAAGCTATATTTGTTAATATGATAATATTTATTATTGGATATACCATAGGTGCCTATCTCTGAACTCAGGAAGTTTTCTGCATATAGGCCATGACTCATGCAATATCACTATAAAGCTAATCCCGTAATAAACAGAAAATGAGATATAAGTTTTGTACAGAAAAGAATGAAGTTGAACAGAAATGGCATTGGCTCTTGACAAAGCAGATTTCATATCAATGAAGAAGTTCAAGCATAGACCAGAGAGCTGCCAGGTGAGGATGCTGAGGCCCTGGTGGAAGTCCCCAGTGGGTGGCTGAACTCTGTAGTCCCTCCACACTATAAAAACTAAAATTCTAATAAACTAATCAAGTGGTACAATGATTTCCATTTTTTTATTTAGCCTTTCTAAATTTTTTCAAAATACTGAATAAGCATGATGTATGGAAAAAAGAAGCAAAATTATAAAATACTGTGGAGGTAATCACATGGGCAAATGGAATAAGCAAATTAATAAAAGATTTCTCTGACAGTCCGTACAAAGTAACTTTTGTTTTTATATGCAAGTGTACTTGCTCATTAGTTAATTCTGAATCTCTCTAGAAAACTGAGAAGCCAGTTTGCCGTGCAGTGTTGGGACAACAGTTTACTTACATGTTACATGTCTGACTCTCCTAAAGGCCAGGCTCAAAGGTACTTCCAAAATGAAATGGAAAAGTAACAAAAATGGAAGCGACTCAGGCTTGAAATGCCAGGAGCCATTTTGCTTCTTACTTTCTACTCCATTCTCAATTTTTATTAGGACATTATAGGTACAGATTTCAATTTCAGAGTTCCCCAAAGAGATATGAAAAATGAATACTACTAAAGAGAATTCCATTTTGAATTGGTACTACTTTGAATTTCTAAATGTTTTTATAATCAGCAATAGCAATAAAGATTTTTTTTCCAAGATTTTTGTTTTGAAAAACAAAACAAAACAAAACGAAGGTAATCATCAAATTGTTTTAAAGTCAAACTCATTGAGGTGGTTCCTCTAGTACAAAATTTCTCATACATTTCTAATCTGATATTATAAAAATATATTTATTCCTCTCTGGAGGAAAATCATTGAAATAATTATTATGCTAATTGTATAAAAGAAAAACAAATACATCATGTTTTAGCAGTTTTTAAAGTTATGAAGTCAGATCTTATCTACCTCTAACTGGCAAAAATTAATTCTGTTAAAACTGAAATGTCTTTGGCATTTGCTAGAGAAATTACAGCTGACAGATAACATCAGAGTGGCAGTCACTGAGACCATGATGACTTCACATATGCCTTTATGTCAGAAGTGACAGTGTTTCCTTAGGATTTCCAATTGTATTCATTCAATACATTAATCTAGGAAGAAGCAAGCACACAGTACCCACATAGACATACGCTTTCAAATTATTCATCTATTTATCTCAGCACAAATTTATCAAGTACATGTGTAATTTTGTTGATGCACAGATTACGTAATGGTCAAGTCAGGGCTTTTGGGGTATCCATCACCTGAATAACATACATTATATCCATTAATTAATTTATCACTTTAGTTTTTGTGTGCCTTCTTTATCATTAGCTAGAAGGAATTTTATTAACTTCTTGCTTTTTGTGTTTTCAGTGTTTCTAGGCATGCCATCCAATATCACCGGCTGTTGTAACCTCGTTATCTTTATTTGAGGGGCTGTCTTATTTACCTTTACTAAACAATGCAAATAAAGCTCATAATGAGAGTTGTGGCTGGTTTTAACTCATCAATATATAATTCTAGAGTGGCTTTAAATATGGAAGAAAATACCACTTTTATCCAAAAGTACCAACTTTGGGGCAAGGCATCCTCTATTCTAAGAAGGTAAAAGTGAAACATCAATTTCACATATACTCACCATCAGCACTGAGACCTTAAATAAACATTGGTCTTCTCAGAGCTCTGATGATTCATAATTTTCCAAAGCCCAGATTTGTTCTGCATTTTCTCTGGTGCTTCCTCTTCAGATATATCTCAATATTCATTAACAAAGAGAATTTTAACTGCTCTAGTATATGTTACTTGCCTGATAATCATAGTTTTATATTTCTTTACTGAGACTATGTTGTCTAATTTATGGAAATAAAGCGTCTCTTTGGTAATAGGGGACATTATATCTTTGACTCAAAAAAACAGTAAATTCACTCCTTAGGGGCAGAGCCACTGTTCCCATTCATCATTATGGGAACAGTCCCTCTTAAGAAAAGCATTCATCAAATTCCTCTTTAAACATGACCATGCTAGGCATCTTAGCAAAAAGTGAAACGTATTTTCCCCATTAGAAGTTTACTATTCACTACTGATAAGATTGATACAGAAATAT